GGCGCCAAATTGAAAATAACGCATTTTAACAGATATACAGTGTGCAATGGATAAATTGGCGCCAAAATTAAAATAATACTGGCATCTCATTTTAACAGATATACAGTGTGCGATAGATAAATTGTCGTGTAAATGGCGCCAAAATGAAAATGACACATTCTAGCAGGTATACAGTGTGCGATGGATAAATTGTCGTCTAAAAGACGCCAGAATGAAGACAACCCTGACGGCTCATTTTAACAGATATACAAAGTGCGATGGATAAATTGTCGTCTATATGCCGCCAAAATGAAAGTAACAGCGACATCTCGTTTTAACAGATCTACAGGGTGCGATGGATAAATTGTCGTCTAAATGGCGCCAAAATGAAAATAACATTGACATCTCATTTTAACAGATCTACAGGATGCGATGGCTAAATTATCGTCCATATGACGCCAAAATGAAAATAAGTGGCATCTCATTTTAACAGATATATATAATTCCCAAAATTACACAAAAATATCCTGAAATACTAAAGAGTAAATTTATTCAATAAAATCGCTACTGGCTTCAACCACAGCCTCCAGACGACTTCGGAATCTCCTGCAACTCTTCTGGACGGTTACCTTGTTTAAGTTCCTGAATGCTGCCATAATCCTTGCCTTCAGTTCATCTTTGGTGTTACAAAGAACTTTTGTTGGTTTCTCGTTCAACGGCACCTCACACATAATAATCAATGTGTTTGCCGTCTGGGAGATAGATGGCCGGATGTAAGGGGTAATGTGTTCGCAGAAATTGTCTGACAGTAATGACTGGGTTCTTCTGCTTGTGTGGCATGGAGCAGAGACCTGTTGTCAGACATAGGGTCTTCCCAGCAACCACCTTCTTCAGCCAGGATAGCACTACCTCCTCAAGGCACTTGATGTAGGTTTCCGTGTTGGGTCTGAGGCCCGCACCAACAAATTCAAGAGTTCTGTTCTTATTAGAATGATCAGTGTGAATTTTCCGAGCTGCCTTGCTTTCGTCATTCAATTCTTTCCGCCTTGTCTTCAGATCGACACCCAAACACTCGAATGGCAAGCAGTACCATATACTGTTTCCAGATATCTGGCGGAGTGAATTGCGTCATCGTGATCATTTTCTCACAGAAGGTGACCAATTGAGCCTACTTCATAGTACCGTCGATAAAATCACAAACAAGCAACGCACATTAATCAAGGGGGTTGCAGTCTAGGGAGTTAGGTGGCCAGATGTAAAGAATGATGGGGTCACAGAAATTGTTTTCCACCTATGACCCAGGTTCTCCTGCCTATGCGGCAAGTTGCAGAGTCCTCTTACCAGATATAGTGTTTTCAAGCAGCCACCCTCTTGACTCGAGGCAGCAGTACCTCCTCAAGTCACTTGATGTAGGCCTCCATGTTGGGTCTGAGGCCCTTTGGGAAAATGGAGGCACAACATCGCCATCACTAGTGGTCACTGGATAATATCATCCAACTCTTTCCGAATCCTCTGCACTGTCCTCAGATTGACGTCCAAACCATCTGAAAGCACCCGGCGCGTTTAACAAGCAGTACAGTATGCTGTTTCCAGATTTCTGGCGGAGTGAATTGCATCATGGTGCTCTTTTTCTCACAGAAGTTGCCCAATTGAGCCTTCTCAACAGTACTCTCGATAAAACACAAACAAACAACGCAAATTAAAAATATAAAATGGCGATTATTTACTCATCACACCCTGTACTTAATGAATCCGATATTAGCATCCATGATTGTTTCAATATGTCTGAAATGTTGATATATCCAGACCAGATGATTTTTATCTATTTTGGACATTGTGTTTGTTATGGCCGTCTTCGGATATTTTATAGTGTTATGGTAGCGTTGATTGACTTCCCAGAAACTTAGCAGTCCAACACATTCAGGTCTGGAGAGCTAGATGATCGTATGTTTGTCTTCACGTGATCGCGAAGATTGTAACTCATCCATTCATGTGTCGTCTTTAGCTTTAAGAGACAATGCAGAGTCTTGTTGATAGGTGTACGGACTTACATTGCTCATGCCCTCAATCCAAAGATTCCCAAACTACACCAACACCTCCTTATAGTTAGCAATAATGATTCTTAATCCCTGACAAAAGAAGTGAGGAAACATGGCATCTTCCTTCTTAATCCCGACTTCCACAACATTCACGTCAAAGTCGCCATATTCATTACAACGTTTCGGACGTTGTACGTTCCGGCCTTCTTCAGGTGGTTGGAATGTCGAACTGAACCCTTTATTTCGCTCACTGGGGTAGACTGTTCTAATTCCACGTGCCATGTTTGATGGATGTCAGTTATCAGTTATCTCCTGTTAATTCCCCTCTAAAGGTTCTTCACTGCCTTAACCGGGTATTGAACTCACACTCTTTGGGTCCTGTCACCGGATCTAACCAACGCCTTTATTCACTGTGCCATGTGTCCTTTATAATCTCCCGAACAAAACTTCTGAAGCCGTCTCTGTACAGTTCTGCCTTCAACAATACCATTGCCAAAGACCGTTTTGATATTCCGAAATGCTTCAGAGGCAGAACACCGAAGTCTGTACACATACAGTAAGATCACTCGACATTGTTTTATTGGAATCATTTTCATTGGGCTTATGAGTAACAATAGATTGAAAGAAAAATTATCTGGAAACAAAAAAAGTCAGAAATAATTGAAGATTTTTTTATATACTAAGGAGGTTACTCCGTTAGACGACTGGGTCAACAACTAACCAAAAATAAATCATTTCATGTGTGACTGATTATAAACACGGGCAAGTCCGTTATACCATTGACAAAGAATAGGCATGGATAATCTTGAGATGCTTTCTGGCGTATCTAATTATAGGATCCGCCATTATCATCGATAACTGCTTCAATACGAGATGTGAAACGTTGACATGCCCAAATTAGATGACCTTTTTTGGACATTGTGCTAGTTATGGCGGACTTCAGAGAACTGAACCCTTTATTTCGCTCACTGGGGTAGACATGCCCGAATTAGATGACCTTTTTTGGACATTGTGCTAGTTATGGCGGTTCAGAGAACTGAACCCTTTATTTCGCTCACTGGGGTAGACATGCCAGAATTAGATGACCATTTTTGGACATTGTGCTAGTTATGGCGGACTTCAGAGATTTTTTAGTGTTATGAGGGCGTTGATTGACTTTTCTTTCGACTACGCCACATTTGTAACAGTCTAACAAATTCAGGTCTGGACAGCTAGTCGGCCATATTGTTTGGAATGACGCTGTTATGAAGATTCTTACAATTCTTCCAATCATACGGAATCTACGCCAGAAAATTTCTATGACGCCAGAATAACATCATTAAAGAAGCATTCTTGCTCTCAACATATACACCATTTTGCAAATTAACTGAAACAACAACTTTAGTTTCCTTTCTTTCATCATACGGTCAATTTTAGACTCATTGGATTGACAAGGAGTAATCAATTTTCTATTTTTTCCTTTGCTGTGGGGTGCAGCAATATGAATGTATTTTCGGGGTATATGATGAAATTTATTTGGCCTTGACAAATATTCTGTCATCCGCGATTGCATCAGATTTTTATCACGCACAGACGCTATTGTCTCGACTGTCGATTAGTTGTCATACGGTCATTGTCAGCGATGGACGTTACACCAAGGAAGCGTACGACAATTACAATGCTGCACGAACACACTAGCAAGCTTTAACAGTGAGCAAATTAAAGTATTATAGATTGGCCCGGAATCTCTCCTGATTTAAATCCACTCGAGAATCTGTGATCAACCTTCAAGGAACTCCTTCGTGGAAATGATATACGAAATACTAACTTGTCACTGGGTCATGTTTTATTGGGAAAATACGAAAAAATATAAATAATAACAGAATTATTAGTTTATTTTCAAGTAATTTGTACAACGGTGTACGTATAAAACGAACATTCTTGGGACGTCTTGGACTTTTAAGACATGCACAGTCTGGTTGGAAGTTGTAAGATCATTTGCTCATGCCCTCAATCCAAGGCCTGACAAAACCTCTCCAATACTACCATTTAATCATCAGTATTGACCCTTAAAACTTGAAGAAAGAAGTGGGAAAAAATTATATCTTCTGCGTTTGACTCATATTTCTGAGATGAGGTATTGTAATTATTTACATTATTTACATTGTTCAGGCTCTTGTCCTCATTTTTATTGTCATATTCACGATGTTTATACGCTCCGGCCTTCTTCAGGATCTGTGTATATTTCTGAGAAGAGGTATTGCAAATATTTACATTATTTGCATTGTTCAGACTGTTGTCCTCATCTTTATCGTCATTGTCACGTCGTTTCGGCCGTTGTACGCTCCGGCCTTCTTCAGATGATATATGATGGAATATATATATATATGCATGTTTCATTAAAAACGACAGACAAGGTACTACGGTTAAGCTTTTTATTTATTTTTTTCTTGTGTTCTAACAAGAGCTTTCTTTTCTGGACAAAGCGTGTGTAAGAACTGTCCAAATGTTTTATATTTCCGAGCGCTTTCGGCTATACATTTAGCCATTATCAAGGATGATTCGATTTTTCAGCTTAATTGAGTGTCTGAGTTCTGTGTATGTCTTAGTGTGTGGTAGGGATGTTTTTAATTTCCGAATACGGTTAGCACATTGTGGCTTTGTTCATAGTTAATATTGTTAAGAGTTGGATTTTTCATTTTTTATTATTAAAGCTTCCATTATTTTTAGTCTTTTTTTGTTGGTTGATGCAGTTAATATATTTGTGTTTTCTACTAGTATGTTTCTAATGGAATCGGGTAAATCTCTGTGTGTGTTTAAGTGGGTTCTAATGGAGCTGTGATCAGATAGGTGTAACGTAAGACGCCCCATATATATATATATATATATATATATATATATATATATATATGGGAATGTTTTCTTTAATTTATTTTTTGTAAACTTGTCTGTGTGTCTTTTTTCCTATTTTAATTAATTTGCAAAAATATCTGGTTCACAGAGATGAGGTCTAGGAGTAGTCTTCAAGAATGGCAAGAGATTTTGCCCCCCATAGTGCGTGGTCATAGTGTTAATAATATCTCCTCTCAGCGGTGTAGTTGATGTGATGGTGTCTCGTTGGTAATGAACTCTCAGCCAAATAACAACTAAAATTATAACAAAATTTTTCTTTCTCTCGCATTTTGACTTCATTACCCCCTTCATCCTTCTTTTTCTCTCTGTTCTTTCCATCGCTCTTTCATTTCATTCATTCATTGTTTTTATTCTTTCTTTCCTTTTTTCTCTTTCTTTCTTTCTCTCTTTCTATTATTTCCTTCGCTATCTTTTTATTCTTTCTTTCTTTAATTCTTTCTTTCTTTCTTTCTTTTCCTACGTTCTTTCTTTTTTTTTTCTTTCATTTTCTCATTTTCTATTCTTTCCTTCGTTCTATTATTTCTTTCATACTTTTCATTTTTTTAATTCTTTCTTTCTCTCTTTCTTTTCTCTATAATTTCCTTCGCTGTCTTTTTTATTATTTTTTTTTTCTATTTTTCTTTCCTTCTTTCTTTTTTTCTTTCATTTTCTCATTTTTCTATTCTTTCCTTCGTTCTATTCTTTCTTTCATACTTTCATTTTTTAATTCTTTCTTTCTCTCTTTCTTTCTCTCTATAATTTCCTTCGCTGTCTTTTTATTCCTTTTTTTCTATTTTTCCTTCGTTCTTTCTTTTTTTCTTTCATTTTCTCATTTTTCTATTCTTTCCATCGTTCTATTCTTTCTTTCATTCTATCTTTTTATTCTTTCTCTCTCTTTTCGATTCTTTCCATCATCTTTTCTTTTTATTCTTTCTTTCCTTTTTTTCTGTCTTTCATTCATTATTTTCTTTTATTCTTTCTTCTTATTCTTTCTTTCGTTCTATTTTCCTTCATTCTTTATTTGTATTCTTTTCTTTTTTCTTTTCTTTCAATCGTTTTATTCTTTCTTTCTTTCTGTCTTTCTTTCCTTCTTTCTATAGTTTATTTCTTTCTTTCCTTCTTTCTATTCTTTCCTTCTTTCTTTCCTTCTTTCTATTCTTTCTTTCTTTCTATTCTTTCTTTCTTTCGTTCTATTCTTTCTTTCTATTCTTTCTTTCTCTCCTCTTTCTTTCTTTCTATTCTTTCTTTCTCTCCTCTTTCTTTCTTTCTATTCTTTCTTTCTTTCCTTCTTTCTATTCTTTCTCTCTTTCTATTCTTTCTTTCTTTCTATTCTTTCTTTCTTTCTTTCCTTCTTTCTATTCTTTCTTTCTTTCTTTCTTTCTTTCTTTCTTTCTATTCTTTCTTTCTTTCTTTCTATTCGTTCTTTCTTTCTTTCTATTCTTTCTTTCTTTCTATTCTTTCTTTCTTTCTTTCCTTCTTTCTATTCTTTCTTTCTATTCTTTCTTTCTTTCTTTCTATTCTTTCTTTCTTTCTTTCCTTCTTTCTATTCTTTCTTTCTTTCTTTCTTTCTTTCTATTCTTTCTTTGTTTCTTTCTTTCTATTCGTTCTTTCTATTCTTTATTTCTTTCGTTCTATTCTTCCTTTCTTTCTATTATTTCTTTCTTTCTATTCTTTCTTTCTTTCCTTCTTTCTATTCTTTCTTTCTATTCTTTCTTTCTTTCTTTCCTTCTTTCTATTCTTTCTTTCTTTCTTTCTTTCTATTCTTTCTTTCTTTCTTTCCTTCTTTCTAGTTTTTCTATACTTTTCTGGCTTTCCATCCTCCGTTCTTTTCTTGTGATAAGTTTCTTTTTATCGTTCTTTCTTTGCTTTTCATCATTCCATCCCATTTTTCTTCCTTGTTACACACTTTCTTTCTTCATTTCTTTCTTTCTTTCTTTCTTTCTTTCTTTCTTTCTTTCTTTCTTTCTTTCTTCTATATCATTATTCCTTCCTTTTCTCTTTCCTTTGACTTTCTTTCACGGTTTCTTTCACTTTTTTGCCCTCCTTTTTTATCCCTTTCCTTCCATCTAACTTTCTTTTGCTTTCATTTTCTTACTTTCTTTCTTTTTTCTTTTTTTCTTTCTTTTTGAATCCATCTCTTTTAGCTTTTTCATTTCTTTCTTTTTACTTTCTTCATTGGCATATTTCTTCATATCTTTCTTTATTTTCTTACTTTCTTTTTTCTTTCTTTTCTTTCTTTCTTTCGTTCTGTTTGAATCCATCTCTTTTAGTCCTTGCGAAAAATATGGCAGCGACAAATGCATATTTTCCGTGTATGATTTTATTTGTATGTGTGTGTGTGTTTATGAGTATGTGTATGTTTGTTTCCGTGAGTTTTGCATGAGTGTATGCGCTGAGGTTATCCATAAAAAATAACTTACCCACTTGCATCCTCTAAGCTTACTTTTCTATTTTGCGTAGGTCTGGCATTTAATTGGTTAATCACGACATAATTACATTTCTATTTTTAATTATGACCTTATATCCCCCCACCCCGACTTTTAACTTTCGGAAAAGAGGTAACATTTTGCTGTTAAATTTCCTTAAAAATCATTTTAATCATCAGGTACTTACCATCGCCTGAAGAAGTACAGTCATAGTATTGAAACGTGAAAGCCTTTGTGTAGCGATTTCAAATGGATTTTATTGCAATCTTATATAAGAAAAATATAATCACACACACACACACATATATATATATATATATATATTTCTGAGATGAGGTATTATGTACACTATTTACATTGTTCGGACTATCATCCTCAACTTTGTTGCCATATTCATCATAACGTTTCAGCCGTTGTGCGCTCCGGTGGCTTCTTCAGATGGTTGGAATGTCGAACTGAACCCTTTATTTCACTCGATGGTTCCACGTGCTATGTCTAATGGATGTCAGTTATCAGTAATCTCCTGTTAATTCCCCTCTCCAAGTTCTCCACTAACTTAACCAGATATTGAACTCACACTCTTTGGGTCCTAACGCCTTTATCAACTGTGGCATGTGTGCTTGCGGACATCTGTATATGAATTTCTGGGTATTATAAACCTAATGACTTCAGCCATTTTTGCTGTTATTATTGCATGTTTTTTTTTTACCGGAGCTCATATTGCAATTTTCGTTGTTATTATTGGTTTTCTCTGGTACTCTTATTACTGGATTTTTTGTGGCCGAGCATATGTGCTGATTCCTTAAGTTTACGAATTTTCCATTGTTGTTCTTCGTCTATAATTTCAGCAGGATCCCACAGACAGCGGTGATTTTCCTTTTTCTCCATATGTGGTCAGCACGCCTGATTTATATATATATATATATATATATATATATATATATATATATATATATATATATATACATATATATATATATATATATATATATATAGAGAGAGAGAGAGAGAAAGAGAGAGACAGACAGACAGACAGATAGGAAAAAACTGATATATACAGAGATAGAGAGAGAGAGAGAGAGAGAGAGAGAGACAGAGAGGACATGAATAGATAGATAGATGTGAAAAGACACACACAAAACACACACACACACATATATATATATATATATATATATAGAGAGAGAGAGAGACAGACAGACAGACAGACAGATAGGAAAAAAACTGATATATATATAGAGAGAGAGAGAGACAGAGGACATGAATAGATAGATAGATGTGAAAAGACACACACACACACACACACACACACACACATATATATATATATATATATATATATATATATATATATATATATATTCAGGTAAAATAAGAACAAACGGAGTATGATTGCACTGTACGTAACATTTAACTTAAAAGGGGACTCAGTATAGAGTAGAACGAATTATTATTGATTTTATGATATTAAATTAATCTTTCACTCGCCAGAAGTTTAACATCGCGTGAAGAGACAAATTCATAGTCTCGAAACATAATTGAAATTATGTAGCGATATTTAACATGTATTTAATATATTTTAAAATCGCTGCACAATTGTCATTCGGCACCATAAATTTGTTCAAAATGAATTATATATATATAGATATAGATATAGATTGATAGAAAGAGAGAGAGAGAAGAGCGAGATAGATAGATAGATAGATAGATAGATATGACAGGACCGATATATATATATAGATAGATGCATATATAGATAGATACAAAGAAAGAAAGATATAAAAAGGCATATATATATATATATATATATATATATGAAAAGATTAATATTTATGTAGACCGCATTATATATATATATGTGTGTGTGTGTTTGTGTGTGCGTGTGTGCATTTAAGTAGCAAATTCTCTTTTAGGCATGTCTGAATGAATCAATTTCAAACATTATGCCTGCTTGTTTTTATCATAATCCTTTCATATTCACGAATATTTTCCAGTATATTACAATCAAATAAGGCACGAAATGCATTGTAACAGTGAGAATATTGCTGGTTTCATGTAATATATCAGTTGGTGTGGAGGTGTTATTGCAAATAATTAAATTGGTTGTATTGTATTTTGTATAATATATGATTAATTTATTTTTTATTAGGATCCGTGGGATACTGGCATATTGGTATAAATGATAAAGGATACTGTATCCTGTGTATAGTTAGTATCCATCTGGTGACAATATAAGAATTTGATATATTTAGGATCTTTTCAAGTAGTAGTATGTTCTATTTGACTTGTGTTTAGGCTTTTGATAATTCTTAACTTAAAATTCCGTTAAAAAGAATAGAAAACATCAAACGGTTATTATAAAAATAAATAGACATAATCTATCTATATATCTATATTTCCCATGTTGTCTGTCTGTGTGTCTGTCGTGGGCGTTGTTACCTCGCCCAGGCCGCATTTCTCATCCGATTTCGATGCAGTTTTCAACACAAGTTTGCAAATGGCTGCCGTAAGGGCATGACGGAGCCCGTTTTTTGAGTTCGGAATCAGGTTCCCAAAAAAATCGAAAAATCGATAATCGAAAAAATTCTGCTTACAGAAGGAATGATCGTATTTCAACCAAATTTGACACCCTCTTAGAGTCTACCATTAGAAGTGTTGTCCAGAAGTTTCATGACCACGGACCCCTAAACAGCGCGGAAAATCGATAAAACCCAAAAACCGATACGCCCAGATTGCGTCTGAACTGCATGTCGGTTTTTAGCGAAAACTGAGCGGATTTAGAAATCGGCCATTGGGAGTCATCATGGGAAGTTTCAACTCTGAGCACCCCCCCCCCAAACAGAGTGCAAATCGACAATCGGTCAACCCTTAAAAATGTTTTTTTTTTCCGGTTTTTTAAAGCTGATCGTATTGTGTTTATTTTGTTTAGTTCTTTTTTCGTAACAGATTTAATGTTTACTATAGAGCTTAGAAAAAGTTGGCAGTGTGATATAGGCAAGAAGTAAGGCATGTAACAACATCAGTACGGCAAAGGGCACTCCTCTAAAGGCAAGGAAGGGCAAAAATATTTTAAGTCAAGTGATAGCGATTGCTGTATGAGTCGTACTATTTTTGAATCAAGCACGGGCAACGCCGGGCCATGCTGCTAGTATTATATATTATTCAAGGAAATGTTTGGAATGAATATATGCTGTCAAAGTATATACAGGTTGAGATCGACGTATTGTCGTCTAAATGGCGCAAGAATTGAAAGTGACATTGAACTCTCATTTTAACAGATATGCAGGGTGCGATGGATAAATTGTCGTCGAAATGGCGTCGAACTGAAAATAACATTGGCATCTCGTTTTAACAGATATGCAGGGTGCGATGGATAAATTGTCGTCGAAATGAAAATAACATTGATATCTAGTTTTAGCAGATATACCGGCTGCAATGGATAAATTGTCGTCTAAATGGCGCAAGAATTGAAAATAATGCTGACATCTCATTTTAATAGATATATTTTCCAAAATTACAGAAAAATATCTTGAAATACAAAAGAGTAAATTTATTCAATAAAGTCGCCGTTGACTTCAACCACGGCCTCAAAACGTCTTCAGAATCTCCTGAATCTCTTCTGGACGGTCTCCTTGTTTAAGTTGATGAATGCTGCTCATAATCCTTGCCTTCAGTTCATCTCTGGTGTTACAAAAAGTCTTATCGGTCTCTTGCTCAACTGCACCCTACACATATTAAACAAGGGGTTTGCAGTTTGAGGAGTTGGGTGGCCAGATGTAAAGGGTGCTGCGGAAGCAGAAATTGTCTAACAGCTATGACTGGGTTCTCCTGCTTGTGTGGCCATTCATAGGGTCTTCCGGCAACCACCCTCTTGACTCAGGGTAGCACTACATCCTCAAAACACTTGAAATAGGCCTCCGTATTGAGTCCGAGCCCTAGGGGGAAGATGAAAGGAGGCATAACGTCGCCATCACTGGTGGACATCATGATGTTGACTGGATATATCATCCAACTCTTTCCGAATCCTCTACACTGTCCTCAGATTGAGACCCAAACACTCTGAATTGTTCGTATTGGTGATTCCGGCGCGAATGCCAAGCAGTACAGCATGCCGTTTCCAAGTTTTGGGCGGAGTGAATTGCGTCATTCTCACAAACAGTGCCCAACTGACCCTACTATACTGTCCAGTCAATAAAATGAAAAATATATAAAATGACCACAATTTAAAGTTATCACACCCTGTACATACATACATATATATATATGTGTGTGTGTGTGTGTGTGTGCAATATATATATATATATATGTATGTGTGTGTGTGTGTAAGTGTGTGTGTGTGTGTGTGTATATATATATATATATATATATATAATGGACTCTCCCGTTGGTTTCGACGCATGAGGATCTGACAGCGTATTGATTCAGTTATGAAAGTTTGTACGATAATTTTAAGTGGCATTTAAGACCCGCTACTGATTTACAAAGGAGGCTACACACACACAACACACACACACACACACACACACACACATATATATATATAAATTAATTTTGATTTCAATTATTAAAACACGTAAATTTCAGAAATACGTTATTAAAAAAAAAAATTTCGCTTGAAGATGGTTTATAGCTTACTTTAACTCAATTTAATTCAAATAATTATATTGAAGTTTTTCGTCTCTTGTTTTGAAACATGAGACCTCTTATGTCGCGAATTGGAATCATATTTTAAATAAATAATTATATTTATGCTCTACTTTTGTATCGAGCACTATTTTTAAAAATAATAGCTAAAAATACTAAGGGACTTTTTTGGATTATTTAGCCTAACCAGTTCCTTCCTATTTTCTACATATTTTCACATATATATATATATATATATATATATATATATATATATATATATATATATAACGCCAACGCAAAGGTTTACAACACATTATAAAAAATGTTTTTTTTTAGATATTTCTAATACAATTAACTTAATTAAACTTTTACTGCTCTTAGGACATATATCTAGGTATTCAGTTAAACAATCAGACTTTTTTAAACTTTAAAAAGTTTTCCACGAAGAAAAAATAATAATTAGTAACTCAAAGATTTAGAAGACATTTTTATTTTATTTTCAAAAGTTTTGTTTTTTTTATAAGTGTTCAAATTTTACTGGAACGTTCCAAATTATGATGGGTTTTCTTTTTCGAACGTTCCAGATTCATTTTATGATTGCTTTCAGGAATGATTATAAGTATTGCGTCATTCTTTTTTCTGTCAACCGTCCTTTAAACATTGACAAAATGGAGAAAAGCAAAATAATTGATCAAGATCTCTATAAACATATTGTTGACCTTCATATAAATGGACTTTAGTTATAGGAGGATATCTAGTTAGTTCAATGTGCCATTAATTTCAGTTAATTCGATAGTTCATCACTGGAGGAAGAGTCATTCCGTTCGTCCCCCCAAAATCTCTGGTCGTCCTAGAAAGTTAACAGAAGATACGGCAAGATTTTTATTGGCGGGAAAAGTTGGTAATGAGCCCCGAGTTACGCTTAAAGAACTTCAGGAGGACTAGAAGTAAGTGGAGTGAAAAATAAGTGCGGATACAATTAATCGTTCACTTCATTGTTATGACATCTTTTCGAGGATTCCAAGGAAGGAAAAAAAACACTTCTTAAGCGAAAACACGTTCTTGCTAAGACTGGATTTTGTAAACGAGCATTGTATTAAACCCGCAAGATTATTGAGAAAATGTACTTTGGTCAGACGAAACGAAAATTGAACTTTTTGACAGAAATGATGTAGCAAAAAGAAGGGTATTTAATATTCTCTGAAGAATATTATCCCAACAGTAAAATTTGGAGGCGGATCAATTAAGAACTGGGGGTGCTTTGGTGCCCAAGGTGTAGGGAACATTGAAATAATAGAAGGCAGGATGAATGGAGCATGTTATAGGGATATTTTGGAGATAAATTTACGTCAGTGGGCACATTCCCTGGGCTTGAAACCAGGTTGGGTCTTTTAACAAGACAACGATACTAAACATACTGCAAAGGTTACAAAATCATCGTTAATTTCAAATAGTATAGAGGTTCTGAAATGGCCAAGTCAATCTCCAGATTTCAATCCGATTGAAAATTTATGGAGAGAGCTAATACTGAGAATTCAAAGAAGGAACACGCAAAACCTGCAGGAACTAAAGGAATTTTGTCGTGAAGAATGGAAAAATATTAGACAAAAAACGTGCAAGAAATTCCTAGGGGACTTACTCGAAACGTCTACATACTGGAATTAGCAATAACGGTTAAGCTACGAAATATTAATGGAGGATTTAATTAATGTATTGTAAACTTTTGCGTTATTAAATATTGGTTTTTCTTCGTGACATATTTTTATTGATTATTTTTTAAAATTTGATTGTTTCACTAAAGACTGAAACATATGTGTTATTAGCAATAAAAGTTTCATAGAAATACCTAAAGAAATATTTTTGTAATGTGTTGTAAACTTTGGCGGGACACTGTATCCATCTCAGTCTGTCCATTATCCATCTATTCATCCATCTATCTATCTATCTCATTCTATTCCTATCAATCTATCTATATATCTATCTATCTATATATCTCATTCTATTCATATCTATCTATCTATCTATCTATCTATCTATGTTTGTCTGTTAAAATCTATCTATCTATCTATCTATCTATCTATCTATCTATCTCATTCTATTCCTATCAATCTATCTATCTCATTCTATTCATATCTATCTATCTATCTATCTATCTATCTATCTATCTATCTATCTATCTATGTTTGTCTGTTAAAATCTATCTATCTATCTATCTATCTATCTATCTATCTATGTTTATCTATTCATCTATCTATCTATCTATCTATCTATCTATCTATCTATCTTACCTTGTTGGTATCTATCTATCTATCTATATGTCTATCTGTCCCAATCTGTTCATTATCTATCTATCTATCTATCTATCTATCTATGTTTATTATCTATCTATCTATCTATCTATCTATCTATCTATCTATCTATCAAACCGAAAAATATATAATGGCGACAATTTACACCCATATATATATATATATATATATATATATATATATATATATATATATATATATTCCTTATCAATATATATATATTTCTTATCAATATCAAAATTTGTTTGAATCTTCTTAGTTTTTCTTTCCTGTCATTATCTGCCCGTGTCTCAAACATATTCCACAGTCAACTGTGACTTTTTGTGGCCCTTTTTGTTAGCCGTCAGTCAGGCAAGCATTTTCTTTATTATTATACTTTTAATTTCTTTCTTTCTTTCTTTCTTATTTTCTTATGGGACTCGCTCAAAAGAACACAAAACATATTTTATTTTGCTCACAGTAATTCACATTAAACGGTAGAAGCATTTCTTTGAATCACACGCCCTTCCTTTGTTTTGCTACCATATGGCCGTGCCCATATGGTGCAATCACAAGTATCCACACACACAAACACACACACACACGTACACACACACACACACACACACACACACTCACAAGCATATATATATATGTGTGCGTGTGTGTGTGTGTGTGTGTGTACGTGTTTGTACGGGTGTGCGCTATATCGAGTCTAATTCCTTACCTATTCGTCACCTAAAACCGTTGATACAGTTCGTATGGCGTTTGCCTCCTATCGTAACTGTTCGGGTTTCTATTCTCGGTAGTGGATCCCAAATATAGGACGACGAAACAGTCGTCCAGTGCTTTCTGCATTCTGTTGAGGTTTCTTCTAGACTCGATGAATTACTTAATTACGATAATCTCAAATCCTCCTAATAATTTCTCTCACTTGTATATCCTTGCTTGAACCGGCTTCTAATTCCCAGTAGTGGATGCGCACTGCTGATGAGTCCCAAATATAGGACGAAACAGTCGTCCATTGCATTCTGTTGAGGTTTCTTTTAGACTCGATGAATTACTTAATTATGATCATCTCAAATCCTCTTAATAATTTCTATCACTTGTATATCCTTGCTTGAATCGGCTTCTAATGCTCTGGGGATAGTAGTCGTGGCTCGTGGGAGTACAGTCCTATGGGTAAAAGAGAAACTCGGAGATGTTCCACCACGGAATTTGTGATCGAGCAGCGCTATATCGAGTCTAATTCGTCACCTCTTTACGAGAACCGTTGGTACAGTTGGTATGGCCTTTGCCTCCTATCATAGCTGTCCGGGTTTCAATTCTGGGTAGTGGATGCGCACTGCTGGTGAGACCCAAATATAGGACGAAGCAGCTCTCCAGTGATTTTTGCGTTCTTTTGAGGTTTCTTCTATTCTCGATGAATTACTTATTTATGATTATTTCAAATCTTCCTGATTATTTCTCTCTCTCTCTCTCTCTCTCTCTCTCTATATATATATATATATATATATATATATATATTGTGTATCTGTCTGGGTAGCAATCTCTTTCTAATACATGTTTCATTAAAAATGACAGTCAAGGTATTTCGGAAGAATTTTTTTCATTTCTCTTGAGTTCTTGTTTCTAAACAAGCGATTATTGTGTGTGTAAATTGTCCAAACCTTTCGATACAAGAACGAACACTTCATACAGACAGACGCACACACACGCACAAATATATATATATATATATATATATATATATATATATATATATCCGATGCGATGAGAACGAAAGTAATATATTCTCATCCGTCGAAGTGCTGTTGAAATGCACTGAAACGAAGTTGCATCTTTGTAGTGAGTAAAATGGTTTTGTCTATATGATAAAATTATAAGATAGATAGATAGATAGATAGATAGATAAAAAGATCTTATATATAAAGTACAGTCTATATGTTTGTGCTTGCGTGTGTGTGTGTGTCCAAACAACTCCTACGCTCCAACTGGCACGATTTCAATAATTCATAGCACATTCAAAAGCCCTATTTAGATTTTCGTTGAGCTAAAATTCAGGGTTTCCAGATAATGCGAGGTTAAATATATATATATTAATATATTATACTAGCCATTATCATTGCTTTCATGGTTCAAGTGAAGTAAATCTTATTTTCTTTTTGTATCCAAAGATGATAATTTTTTTAGCAAGGTCGATTTTACTGTTTTTAAATCATGGAGGGAAATCATGGGAAATTGGAGTTTAAAAGCAGCTTCTCTGTAGCTAAACTGGTATAGCACGTCAGGATATATGATGATTCCGTGTAGTATCTAGGTTCGATTCTTGTCGGAGGACACAGATTTTCTATGTCTCGGGTGTTCAGGGCGGTAAATGTTGTTAATACTGTTTATTATAAACAGTATATTTATTTAAATTTTTTATATATATCAGAGAGAGAGAGCGGGGAGCTTAAAATCGACTATATTTATAAGCAAATGGTGCTCAGTCTTGTTTGTAAGGAAAATAAGGATCTACGTACATCAAATCGTTTTTAAATTAAGTAGCAGCAGGAGAATTACAGATTGACCATCAATACATTTTATATCAAAATGACCAACAATACATTTTATGGTAGAACTAGTAGCTTTCACCCACTTGCTATTGCTTCGCAAAGTAAGATATATATTCACCACTTGAAATCTTTGAAACAAAAATTTTAAATTAACATTTCCTTCATAAATTTGATTGTTATAGTTAAGGAAAGTTTTACAAATAGATGCCAACTTGTGAAGGCCAAGTGAAATGCATTTTATTTCTTCTTTAATAAGGATAATTGTTGTTAATACTGTTTATTATAAACAGAGCATTTACTTACCTATTTATGTCTATATAAATATTGTATAAACAATAAAATATATATATAAGATAAGGATATATAACTTTTTATATACCAAGAACAATATTCAGGAAAGATGTAGTGATTACTCGTGTTTGACTAGACGTTCGATTTATTAATTAAACAAAATATTTATTTTCCTCAAGACGCCAGATCGGGGCCAACTGCAGATTTTTCTTGTGTTTCTAAATAGATAACAGGGGTACTGGACCATATGTGACTGCAATATTATAATTATAGGTGAATGGTAGACTTATAGATATGTTAGTTAGATTCTGGACAGGAAAACCGTCTATCACGTTACAGGGAACCAAACTTCTTAGCAGCTGACCTAACAATGGCTTCATTTCAGTAAATTATGTTAGCCCAAGAAGGCGCAATGAGTCACATTCTTGGAGGTTAGCATCAGCCATGATGTTTGGAATACGTGCTTGAAAACTAGAAAGAACATCAGGTATTAAAATTAAAATGCAAAACATACTCAGTAATAGTTTCTGAAGCTTTTAGAAAAAATGTGGATTGGTTTTCAAGAAGTATTTTTTCTCATTTTACCGAGAAGAAGGCGATAATGCCACTAAGACGCCAGTTCTAACTGGGAATTAACGTGAATGTGAAAACATTATATTGGGGCGGGTAGAATGAAGATCAACTTGTTTTAGTGGGCTCAGCAATTTTCAATTTGCTTGTCTGAATCGTCTTCAAGAAGCGAGAGCAAGATCTAAATGGTCAGCCAATCTAACAGTGTTCTCATCTCACAATCCTCGCACTTGCTACATATGTGGCCTCCTTTGTAAATCACTAGCGGGTCTTAAATGCTACTCAAGATTATCGCACAAATTTCATAACTGAATCAATAAGCTGTCAGATCTTCATACGTCGAAACCGATGGGAGAGTCCATTATATATATATATATATATAAACACACACATATATATATGTATGTATGTATAGGGTGTGATGTATGTATAGGGTGTGATATATATATTGTAATCCTAAACAGAGTAAGTCTTTTCCGCCACGTTCTACGATAATGCCAATGTTTGGGGACATTTAGGGATTACACACACACACACACACACACACGCACCCCCCACACACACACTACATATATATATATATATATATATATATATATATATATATATATATAAGTGAACATAGAAATCAACACTTAGAGGAAACAGTGTGTTTCATGCTAGACGCAGTCGTCAGGCCACGAGTGCTTTTATTTTTCTCGGCTATATGTATATTCGGTCAGTGGTGCATTGTAAATATTGGAGTGACGATTGCGCCTAGCATGTAACAGACTGTCGCTTCTAAGTGTTGACTTCTATGTTCACTTTTATATTTACACACGCTCTATCTCTGATATTAAGCACTTTATCCCATAAATATAGCACACTTTAAGAATATATTTCTTCATAAATATATATATATATATATATATATATATATATATATATACCGGATGTGGGTATATATATAAATTGTCCATATGTATATATATATATATATATTCCAGAATCATTTTCCAACTTCTAATTTTCTCTCCTGGAGTAATAAGCTGCTTAACAGGTTTTACGTACGATTTAATTTTCCAGTCTTTTTTCCCTGCTCTTTGGACTGTCATAGCTGAAACTCCTCTCTCACGTGCCAAACGTCTTATGGATTGAGTAGGATGTTTTCTATTTCATCTCTTTGTCTCTAACTTGAAACGATGATCTCTCTTCCTGTTGTCACCACTTGATCCAGTTTTCCTGTCTCCTATTCCCGCTTTTTTAAACTTATTCACTATTCTGTTGACGGTTCTTGAAAGGACTTTAAAGATGGAAACCCAAGTATGAATGTTGGTACCATTAATGAAGTCCTGAATGATTTTTTCTCTCATCATTGATCAACTGAAAAGACAATGGGGCTGGCGCAAAACTATTTTAACCTGTTCTCTTTCTAGCTGAATAACTCAAAGTTTTTTTTTTCAATGATTCTTACGCCAAATGGTGTCAAGATGGCTAAACTTCTTATCTGAAAACTTGGAAAAAAGAAACGCAATTAGTTTAGCTGTTTTTTTCGATTTTAGTTATTAAACATTTTGTGTGATGGACAATTATCGCATTATTATGCAATAATTATTGGGCAATTTTTCTGTTACACTAGGTATATATCTATCTATCTAATCTACCTATCTATCTATATATATATAT